CATCATCGGCAGCAGCGCCATGATCAAAATACTCATCATCATCATCAACATCATCGTCACCGTCATGTTCATCATCATCATCAGCATCGTCGTTATCACCGTCATCATCATAATCATCATCGTCCCCATCATCAGCAGCCCTAGCATCAGCATCATCAGCATCAGCATCAGCATCAGCATCATCATCATCATCATGATCATCAGCAGCAGCAGCATCGTCGTCGTCGTCATCACATCATTTGGGACGTCGGCCCAAAACGGCCGCAAGCGGCCTGGGATCGCGTCAGACGCCTCTAAAATGCCCCTGAGGCCGTCTTGGGCGGCTGAAGCTGGAAGAGGTGAGAACACAACAAAAACGTAGAAAAATACAGAAAATCAATGAAGTCGGTCACCGGAAGCGCTAACAGAGAGTCTCTTGGGGTGGTCCTGGGGCGTCATGGGCGCCTCTTGGGCTGTCTGGGGGCCATGTTCGGCAGTCTTGCGCCGTCTCCTGCGCAATCGGGGCCTCTCCGAAGGCTAACGAGGCGGCTCTGAGGGCCCGCCCGGGCCTACCCTGGGGCTTCAGGCGGGTCCTCTGGGACCCTTTGGACCTCTCTGGGACTTCTCTTGGGGCTCTCCAGGATCGTCTTGGGGCCGTCTTGGAATTGTCTTGGGGCTTTCTTGGGCCGTGTTAGGGAGCTCTTGGGAGCCTCTGGGGCCGCCCTGTCACAACCTGGGAGGCCCCTGAGGCCGTCTTGGGCGGCCGAAGCCCGAAACAGGTAGAACACGAAAACATAGAAAAACACATAGAAATAAATCCGCTGATCCGGCGTGTGAGTTTCAAAGGCCCTCAGATATAGCCTGAACCTCAGTTCTTGAGCTTCAGCTCTGCTGGGGGGGTGGGTGCCGGAGTGGCTCTGCCGGGGTAGGGGGGGTGGTCCGAGTCAGTTGTAGTGGCAAAATCGAAGCTCCAGCTCACTCCAGGTCGGCCCCTCGCCCCAGAGAGCTCGAACGCGGGCTCATAAAAAAACAGCGGCCGCCCACACGGCCCAAGAGGGCCCTGAGTGGCCGAAACATCGCTCAAGGACACTCAATATGTTCCTCAGACGGCTCCAGTAGCCTCCAACGTACCCTCCCGACACCTCCTAAGAGTGCTCAAAGTCCCATTCTCTTCGGAAAACGTTTTTGTTTGTGCATTTTCGCTTCTTCGGCCTTCGCAGTGTCCAACACGGCCCAAGAGACCCCCAAAACAGGCCCAGAGGCTCTCAAGAAGGCCACAAGTCTGCCCAAGAAGGGCCCAAGACAGCCCGGGAGGCCCCCAAGACAGCCCAAGCGGACCCCAGGACGGGCCCAAGAAGCGCCCAAGAGGGCTCCATGATGGCCCCAGAAAGGCCCAAGACGGCCCAAGAGGCGCCCAGGAGGCACCAAAATGATCCTAGGAGTCCCCAAGAAACCCCGAGAGGCTCCAAGTGGCCCTCAAGAGGCCCCCAAAAGGCGCCCAAAAGCGCTCCCCGAAGGCTTAAACATCACCTCCTACACACCCCCAGGAGGCCTCCAGGATGCCTCCTGCATGCCGCCCAAAAGGCCCCCAAAAGGCCCAACAATCACCTTCAAGACGCCCCCCCAGGAGGCCTCGAAGATGCGTCGTAGAGGCAATGCCTCCAAGCTGTTTCCAAACCACTCACGTTTGAACAAGCGCGCTGGGGCGAAAACGTCCTTCTGACAGCGGGATCGTCCCGGATCGGCGGCACCGGCCGGAGGCCTCTACAATATGAATTCGGCCTCTGGGGGACTCTGGGGTCCCTCTTGACCTGCCTTCGGGCTCTCTTGGGCTGTCCTGGGGCCCTCTGTGGCCGTCTTGGGGCCTTCGTGGGGCCCTGCGAGGCCGGCTCGGAACCTTTTGGGACCGGCTTGGGCTGGCTTGGGGGCCTCTGGACCCTTTGGGCTTCTCTCGGACTTCGCTTGGAGCACTCCGGGACCGTCTTGGGGACGTCTGGGAACCGTCTTGGGGCTTTCTTGGGCCGTGTTGGGGCGCTCTTGCGAGCCTCTGGGACCGCTCTGGGAGGCCCCTGAAGCCGTCTTGGGCGGCTAAAGGCGGAAAACATGAAAACACCAACGACAAATAGAAAGAAAGACAATAGAACATCAATGATTTCGGCCTTCGGAAGCGCTCCCTGGGAGTCTCTTGGGGCGGTCCTAGGGCGTCATGGATGCCTCTTGGGCTGTCTGGGGGCCATGTTCGGCAGTCTTGCGCCGTCTCCTGCGCCACCGGGGCCTCTCCAAAGGCTACCGAGGCGGCTCCGAGGGCCCGCCCAGAGCGGCCTGGGCCCTGGGGGGCGCCCCCGGACTGGCCCTGAGGGGACCGATTCAGTGCCACCGCTCGCTGTTTTCGCGCGCGCTGTCCGCGGTGTTGTCTCCAGCTTCGCCTCTCGCATCTCGCTCAGGAGCGCAGGCCCTTGGGGAAAGCCACCAGGAGCGCCGGGGAGGCTCGCAAGGATCTCCGGAGAGGGCCCAAGAGAGCTCCAAGAGAGCGTGACACGTAACAAGCTCTGAGCAGAATCCGCTGTTGGGACGCACGTGCTGCCTTGTTAGGGCGGCCGAGAGGCTTGCAGAACGGCTCCCGGAGCCACCCCTCCTATCAGGAGCAGTTTTGAAGTCGTTCGGGGATGCGCGTCAAAATCGGAGCCCATTTGAAGCGTCTCAGGAGCTCCCGGGGAAGGGCTCGGGAGGCCCTCGGGGAACGCCACCAGGAGCGTCGGGGAGGCTAGCAAGGATCTCTGGGGAGGGCCAAGAGAGCTCAAGGAGGGCGGAATATTGAAGATCAGTTTAACAACAACTGCTGTTGGGTCGGACCCCCTCTGGACGGCGGCAAGGAGGTAGGCCACTTTGTCGGCGATCATTATCGTTTCGCGTGGCCTCCTTTCTCGCGCCGCCCGAGCTCCTTCGTCTGTCAGCTCTTGGGGGCTCTGTCCCCTCTAGCCTTGGTGCTCTTCTCCCCTCGCCTGCATGGCCGCAGGGTGGCTGTTCTGGCTTGTCTCGCCCAGAAACGCCACTTCTGCCCCCCCCGCGGCCAGCCTCCTCTGGTCTTGTTTCCCCGCGCTGTCTTCACGCCTTCCTTCTGCTTCGCTCTCTCGCTGGGCCTCCAGTCTGCCCCGGGGGTCGCGAGCCGCCGAGCTCCACCCCCACTCGGGGCCCGCTCTGGCGTGCATCCCCGAGCGCCTCCTGTGGCAGCTGGGGGGCCACCTCCTCTCGCGCTCTGGGGCTCCTGCTGCGTGCCCCCTCTCCTCTCGCCCCCTCGGGCTCGGGGTTGCTCATCTGGTTTGGCTCGCCCAGAAACACACCGTGAGCCCCCCGCGGCCAGCCTCCTCAAGTCCTTCGGTGTCCTGTCGCTGTCCGCCCGCTTTCTGCGTCGCTACCTCGCTGGGTCTCGGTCGCGAGCGTCCTCGCTCCAATCTCACTCGGACCTCGCGCTGGTGCGCATCCTTTCGCCGCTGGGAGTCCCTCCCGGCGCCAGTCTGCAGCCCCTGCGGTCGGCGAGCGTCCTTGCCCCACCTCCACTCGGGGCCCGCTCGGGCGTGCCTCCCCGAGCCCCTCCTGTGGCGAGCCTCTGCTGTCGCCCTGCTGCTCCGCGCTCTCTTCCGCCAGCCCGAGGGGTCGCGAGCGCCCTTGCTCCACCCCCACTCGGGGCCCGCTCTGGCGTGCATCTCCGAGCCCCTCCTGTGTCTGGTTGCTGCGCGGTGCCGTGGGATTCCCGCGCCTCTCGGCCGCCTCGCCAGGCGGCTCCTCTCCCGGGTGGCCCGCGCGCCTCTTCTCTGATCGGCGGGGTGGCTTTTCTGGTTTGTTTCGCCCAGAAACACCACCAGTAGAGCCCACACGGCGCTGATCCTCTGGGATTCGCGTCACCTCGGCCTGCCTCTCGCCTCCTCTCTCGCGCACCGCTTGCCGCAGCCATCCCGTCAGGCGGCACTGCCCGATCGCGCATGCAATATGCCCACAGCACGGCTCTCTCAGCTTGGTGGCCACTATCCCAGTCGTCGCCGCACCGCAGTTCTCGCAGAACCAGCGGCTGTGCTCCCTCAGCATCCGCAGCCTGTGGGCCTCGTGTGACTCCACGCCGTACTTGGTGACCGTCAGCGCCGTCGGGGGAGGCGGCCCGCTGCAGGGTTGCGCTAGCAACTCCTTGCTCGCCGTCGCCGCAGTCGTGGAACTGACCGCCTCCCAGCAACTCTTGCTGACCCAGCACCCAACCCGTGCCTCTCCTGTCGCGTATCAGGGTGTGTTGGGTGATCGGCCTTTCTCGTCTTGCCCGACCCTGGCAGGTCATTCTTCCTTCGCGCATCCTGCCGCCACTGCTTCACCAGCTGCCTCCCCGCCTCGTTGAGCTCTCCTTCGTCTGGCGGTCTTCTGGCGAGCACGTCCTTGGTCGTGTCGGCGATCCTCGCGCGGACCAAATGCTCCGTCGCGCGCACCCACTCGCACGAGCTCATATCCGTGTCGCTGATTGCGTGGAGCAGGAGCAGGAGGAGGAGGAGGAGGAGGAGGAGGAGGAGGAGGAAGGGAAGAGGCGCAGGAAAAGGATGCACGCGCGGCCGACTCGGCGGGAGCGCGGGGCAGGGCAACCCAACACGGGATATGCCGACTGCGTTGGGAGGTTCTCGAATGGACCAACAACTTGAGGTCCCACCCTGGAATCTACGATGAGAGTGGGCGCCCATCCTCGATATGGGATGCGTCCGATTAGCCCCCTTGGGGGTGTATCCCAGGGTTTCGCTCTTTCTCTGGGCGGCCAAACTTTTCGTGCGGATCTCGGGGATTGGGGATGGATTGGGCGCGAATAAGGAGGGGCGATACATGGGGAGGGGGGGGGGAAAGGTGCCCTTCTCAGGGGCCCTCAGGGGCACTTGTTGTCGGCAGCCCCCGCTCCCCCACCAATCCATCGCCCCCCCCCCCTGACGCGTCCTCCGAGAGAAAGTTCGCCTGCGAGCAGCGGCGCGCGGCGCCACAGTGGCGCGGCCCCGCGCCTGCAACCGCTCGTGCGCGAAGCGGCGCCGCGGCTCGGGGCCGCCGAACTCCGCGACGGTGTGGCCGTCGCCTGCCGCGCGCCGCGCGCGAGGAGGGAGAGGAGGGAAGGGGGCAGCGGCGACGAGGCAGAGGCACGAGGGGAGGAATGGAGGATGTGGACGGGAGAGAGAGAGAGAGAGAGGGAGAGAGAGCGAGGGAGAGAGAGAGAGAGAGAGAGAGACAACAAACACATCAAGCCAAAGACAACCAGGGACGGAACAAGAGAGAGAGAGAGAGAAAGAGAGAGAGAGAGAAAGGGGTCATATATACATACGTGCACATGTAGACGTATCTATAGTAAGTACTTGCGTGTGTGTACATGAATGTATGGATGTGCGTACACATGCATGCATGTGTACACGAAGGGGGAACGATAGATTTTGAGAGCTTTGAAACGATAGCGGACAGCAACACGTATCCAGTCGTGTCTACAGTTGCAGAAAAGGAAAGCGAGAGAGAGAGAGAGAGAGGGATAGAGAGAGAAGAGAGAGAGAGAGAGAGAGACCCACGAACCTGGAAAGGGATTGGGAACTGCGAGGCCTGGAACCGCTTCTAAAGATCTCAATTGCATGTACACCTGGGTGATGCCAAGGGGGCATGCCCTGGGGATGCGCCGCGGAAAGTCCCAACGGACGAGCCAGCGGACGTGCCAAGGGACGTGCGACGGGGACGCACCGCGGGACGTGCCAAGGGGACGCGCCACGGAACGCGCCAATGTACATGCCACGGGACGTGCCAAGGGACGCGCCGCGCGACGTGCCAAGGGGACTCGCCACGGGACGCGCCACGGAACGTGCGAGGGAACGTGCCAACCGACGCGCCACGGGACGTGCCAAGGAACGCGTCACGGAACGTGCCACGGGATGTGGCCCGGGACCGCGCTGCCAAACAAGCAAATTCTTCTGCTCCAGAAAACGCAGCTTGCCTCCTCCCCGCCCTCCACCCCCAGACACCGCGGAACCAGAAAGGGGCAACGCACGGCGGACCCATGAACGAAGCCATTACGACGGGACCGCGCTCTCAAGGCCACGATCTCGAATCTTACGATGCGTCCGCTCTCCCTGGGCTGCGATCACTCGCACATTACGCTACGTCCGCGCTCCGAGATCACTCGGAGCCCGCGTTCCCAAGACCGCGACCCCTTGCAAATTACGCGGGGGTCGCGTACTCAAGGCCACGGCCCCTTGAAGATTACAATGGATCCGCGCTCTCAGGGCAACAGTCTTTCGGAAGTTCAACAGGACCGACGCTCCAGGGCCACGGCCCCTTGCAAATTACGCTGGCTTCGCGCTCTCAGGGCCAAGGTCCTTGGTAAATTACGCTGTGTCCGCACCACCAAGGCCACGATCCCTTGTCACTTATGCTGTGTCCGCGCTCCGAGGGGCAGGATACCTCATAAATTGCACAGCGTCCGCGCTCCCAGTGCCAAAATCTATCGCAAATTGCGCTGCGTCCGCGCTCCCAGGGCCACGATCCCTTGTAAACTAAGCTGCGTCCGCGCTCCAAGGGCCACGATCCCTCGAAAACTACGCTACGTCCGCGCTCCCAGGGCCGCGTTCCCGTGTGAATTACGCTGCGTCCGCGCTCCCAGGGCCACGATCCACGGTCAATTACGCTGTGCCCTCGCTCCCAGAACCACCTGGGCATCCTGGGGCGCCCAGGCCGCTCAAGTTCTGCAAAACAGGAGTTTCGCTCCAGACCGCGCGACAATCAGATTTTCTGACAATGTGACATATTTCAATGCATTCAACCCTCGTGTTTCTTGAATTGCGGATTATGCGCAAAACGCTCCGCACCCTTGACTGTTAGAAAGGACTACGTGTATCCGCGGACCCCGCTATTGATCGAGGATCTGAATAATGGGGCACATTGTCTTCGAGCGGGCACGCGCGAAACCCATCTTTTCACGCACAAATCAGACCCCACCCCGTTATGTATCGCAAACAATTCCGCCGGCGCACATTCCTCCTCGAGCGGACGCGCGCGAAACGCATTTTTTCAAATAGCACCATAACTTCGTTGTTCACATCAAGATACTTCCGTCGGCACTCTTCAAGTCGATTTCGGGGGTAAACGTATTTGAAAGAACAAAAACTAACCCGGGGCCTAAGCCCTACCCCAGCGAAGACGGGGAGGGGGGGAAGAGAAAGAGGAAGAGAAAGAGAGAGAGAGAGAGAGAGAACAAACAAAAAAAACAAGAGGGACAGAGAGAGAGAGAGAGAGAGCGAATCAAGCGGAACAAACCAGCATATGCGCTGTAAACCAACAGAATGACTGGCACAGAAAACGGGAAAGAAAACAAAAACAAGCGAAACCAACATTTATACATATATATATACAGATATACATACACAAGACTGCATTGGCGTTGCGCGCCATGCACACTGGTTATTTAGAGTTTCGCCCGTTAGCGGAATGCGTGCGTGCGTACATGCGCACACACATGCGCCGATGGAAGCATACTACAACTGTACATGTACATATACGTATGTATGGGTATGCACGTGTATATGCAATTTGTATGTGTAACTATGTGTGCGCATACACCTGCGTATCTCAGGCGGTAGTGGCCTGACCAGCTGCTCCGGGCATCTCGCAACTCAAAGGTGCGAGGGTCTCAAGCGAAAGTGGCCAGACTACCATGGTCCTTCATGGCTGTGATGACTGCGGCAGGACTCCGCAGAACAGAAGTGGGAGAGAGAGGAAAACTGGTTCTGCTAGAATCTTGACGGGGTGGGGAAGAAGAACATAAAGAGGATCAGGAGGAGGAGGGGGAGGGGGAGGAAGAGGAAACGGAGTAGCAGAAGGAGCGAAACCTATGAGGAGGAGGCTGAGAGGAGGAGGAGCAGAGAATATACAGAAAAGGAAGAGGAACAGGAGGATAACGGGAAAGAGAAGGAGGGAGACGGGGAGAAGAAGGATGGAATAAAAGAAACATTGGAAGGCTTCTGGGGGTGTCATGAAACTCAGTGTTGGGAGCTTTGGTGATCTGTAGCGTTTTGGGGCCTCTTGGGAGTCTTCTTGGGGCCCTTTTGGATCCCCTTGAGGGCCCTGTTGGGGTTCTCTTGGGTCGTCTCGGGGCCCCTTTGGGCCGTCTTGGGGCGTTTTGGAGGCCTTTGGCCGTCGTGGGGCTCTCCTGGCGGTGTCTTGCGGCCCTCTTGGGTGCCTCGTTGGGCGCTCTTGGGGCTCTCTTGGGCCCGTCTTGGAGCCCTCTTGGGCTGTCGTGGGACTCTCTTGGATCGTTTTCGGGTTCTTTGGGGGGCCTCCTGGGCGATCTTGGGGCGATCTTTGGAGCCTCTTGGGCCGGTTCGGGCTGATGTTCGCCCGGAAAAGGGAGAACCAGGAAAACCTCTGAAAGACACACAAACATCACTGACATTTCCCTTTGGGGGCCCTCTTGGGAAGCCTCTTGGAAGCTTCTTGGGGCGTCTCGGGGCCCCCTTAGACGGTCTTGGGCGGTCTTGGGGTCTCTTGGAGCGCTCTTGGGCTGTCTTGGAGCGCTCGTGGACCCCTTTTGGGGGTATCTCGGGCCGTCTGGGGCGCCTCTGGGACCGCCCGAAAATGACCGCCCGAAAATGTCGGGGAAAACCGAAACTCGTTTGGGGTGGGGGGGGGGGGGGGCTCCGTCCGGGGTCCGTCTGGGGTCCCCGGCCTTATAAAAAACAGATAAATAGGAATAGGTGTGTGTATTTATATTAACAAAGGAGAAACTATTTATCTATAACACAAATGGAACCAATGAATGTAAACTCGACGAGCAAAAGGGTACTTTGAAATGTAGATACACCTATGTCTAGCCGATCCCAGGAACCCTATATTAAACCATGTTGCCATTTCTTGGGGGGCGCATCTTTTACTTCCGTCGGTTGCCGCCGAACTTCCGACGGCGGAACCACCCCCTGTGTTACTTCCGCCGCTTTCCGCCGACCGTCCACCCAAGAGCAAACGCCGACTCCTTCGATCCTCGAAGGCGAGGCCCCCTCTGGAACGCTCATTATGTACCGATGTGTATACATGGTGGACAGCGCGGGCCCCAAACACCGTGTTTCTAGCAATATAAGTTGTGCAACCTGGGTGTAGCATTCTACGTGGTGCAATCTGCGTGATGCAATACCGGTTATGCATCGCATACACATGTATACATATATATATATATATATATATGTATCGTGTGTTATTGAGGGTACGCAATGAAAATTCCCAAATCTTGGTTGAATGATCGATGCGATACAGTCAATGTGGTGCATTTGATGCAGCGTAATACGTGGTACAACCCATGTTATTTCAACATACGTGGTGCAAACCATGTGTGTAATCTCGATAGTGCGCACGCAGTCTATGCAATGTATTCGACGTGGTACAATCCCGTGCTGTCGATCTATGTGGTGCAATCGACGTGATGCAGTCTGCGTGGTGCAATCGAAGGTGCAGGTGTGCAACCGATTTTACCGATGAGCTGACACATTCCATGCCCTTGCAAACAACCCACCCACCCACCCGCAATCTGGCTTGCAAATCCCACGCGGCGGCGATTGCGATGAGTACTTGGCTTTGGCAGGTGTTTATCTGCGGCCGCGCAAGCCCGCGCATGCTCGAGCGCACAGCGGTCAGTTAGTTTGGTGCTCGCGTGTGTTTATAGTTGTTCGAGGCTCTCGATTTTGAAATCTTTCCGCGGCACCTGCAAATTTTGAAAGATTCCAGCATGCGCGCGACGGCGCGCGCACACATGCACTTCGTCAAATTTGTTGTAAGTGCTATTTGAAAACTGCTACCTTGTGATAAACGAATGTGCGTGCATAGTGTCTTTTGCAAAGGACGAAAGGGGGCAACCCATACCGGCCTGCCTGGGATGGTACGAGTTCGAAGTTAGGATGGGCGATGGGGCAACCGCATGAAACATACCATGCGAAAGGGTGACCCGATATCCCCAGGGGAGGTATATATGTTTATGAAAGAGGAAAATCTACGCGGTGAAACTCACATGTGGAACTTGCAGTTGTCAGCTCCACTGCTCGCGCAATTCTCCCACCC